TATTTCCAGCTTTGCAAGCAAATCCCATATGCCAACGTAATTGCTGCATAAATTTAAGTTAATAATACATAAATTAGCTTACAATAATACTTGTGTTTTTTCTACAATCCCATCCTTACCATGTAATAAGCTGTGGGGCTGGCCTGTGGTTTAGGGCGTAGGTTTAAAACAAAATTAAGAAATAGAAATTTGCGAGAAAGGCTTTTCCTTAATTTAGTCGTTCACCATGCAGGACGAATGAGATCATGAAGAGTCTAATAACAGTGATGTGGATATAATCATTTTAACTTAAGGGTTTATATGAAATATTATCAGCTCGTAAGTGGAGCAAATTAACCATAAGAAATGAGTCATAGGAACAGACGAGCCCCATCCGGTATGGGCATTACTTTAAAAAAAATCATGCTAAAGAATTTTATATTGTGATCATTTCCACCTCGTTATCCAATTACACAAGCATTTTCAACGTCTGCATATTTTCCTGCCTGCATGTAGTTTGTTCCTGTTTCGATTTCTTTTTCACATCCCAGTTAAAGAAGTTGGTCTAGACATTGTAAATTCCTCTTACATCACTTGCATCATATCTGGACATTTATGTATTTCATACCAATTATTTTCAACCGCCACTCTTTAATTGTCATTTAAGACTACAGTACATATTTACTCCTCTTTTTGTCTCTTCTGAAAATGACCTCAGTGAATGTGTTCAGCATGCATCCCCTGAGGTCACCGCTCTCACAGCTGCCACGCGCAATCAGATCACAGAGTTTAACGCGGAGACTAACTCTGGATGAACTGTGTTAAAGGGGGCTGAGACACCGAGCCGAGTATTCTTCCTGCCTGTTGGCCCGACACCAGCCTCAGATCATATTCGCTCCTTCCTGACTGGATGCTGCTTCAGAGTCGACGCACCTACAGTTTACTTTCCAGTAGAATTACAGAACAACACCCCCCCCCCCNNACAACCCCCCCCCCCCCAACCAGGATTGTTTGTTGAAAGAAGTTGCTCAACCTTTCAGAACACTTTTTTTCCCCCCCTCAGTTAGAGAAACCTTTACAGCATGAATCCATATTATCAGATTGGCTGAAAATAATCTGGCCCCTGTGGTTGCTTGCCGACCACCAGAAAATTGTATTTACTACTACACTTAGCAAGACTTTAACCTTGACCAACGCAATGCCGAGCACAGTGGTTTGAGCCAAAAGTGTACAAGGGAGGAGGCAGGTTTGGGATTAGTCGACCACATAATCAGCACACCCCTCTGCATACCCTACCTGGAAGCCATCTTACTGGCAACCCCTGAAAGTGTTCCCCATAAAGTCGTGTTGACAGACGGTGAAAACGGCGAGACGGACCAAAAAGTAAATAAGTACCTCCAAAAACGTTTACAGCCCTAATCAAGTCCAGAGCGTTCCTTCTATCCAATATGCCTTCAGAGTTTTATAAATAGATATTATACTCGGCTAAATTGGAGACAGGATTTTGCCGCTCTGTGGCTGTCATGAGTTTTCTATTATTTGCTTTCACTTTAGAATATTGAAACTCTTAATATCTGGTTACAGATTTCAGCCCGCTCAGCCCAGTCTTTATGTTTTGGCGTCACTCAGGGGCCTCACACTCAGCAGGATTTTGAATGGGCTCCAATCAAGCATGTTAATTTAAGAGAGAGGAAAAAAATCTTCACCAGATGACTTTGTTATTAATAAATTTACCAGAGGCCAGCCATGTGTTCTGTCAAATTTATAGCCTTTTTCTTTTTTGAGCTACTGTATAGCGCCTTTTTATTTGTCAGTGGTTCTTAGCTTGAAATTTGTCTTGAGTTTTATTCCCTGTGAATGACTCATTTTGATACGTTTAAAGTGTCTTTTTCTCACACTGTGCATGTGTCTCTCAGGCTTTTCCCTCCCCGAAACTTGTAGAACAAACCAGACCACCTCCCAGAATCCTCCAAAATAACCTTGCTACAACTGTGGTGAGGCATGGCGCGTTTCTCACACACAAGCCCTCACTTCCATTCATGCAGCGCAATAAGCCAAACATATAAAACCATTCCCACCCTAATAAACCGGGGCCTTTTTCTCTGCCACAAAAGGAGCTGGCTCCCATGAGCGAAACACTCTAAAAAATGGACCCCTGTATAAAACAGCCTGAAGGGAACTCGGCGGGCCCTTCCAAGTGGAGGGAAATGCGGTGACAGAAACTGAGCCAAGGATATGACCCACCGCATAGGCCCCATCACAGCTGCTATAAACCAGGTACCCCACCTGATGCAAACACTGCCAGTATGTCAGAATCGGAAACTCAGTCAAGTTTATACAATTCTCCTTCACAGGGGGAAAGTCCGGTGCTTTTTTTGGAGCTTACTGCTTTTAAAAAAAAAGTATCTGAAATGCTGCTTTCTGATTAAATAGTGGTGCTGCTGTGTGAGGGTTAGCAGGTGTAGCCTCATTGTGGTTATTATCAGTGAACTGCAGCAGCACTGTGAGTCTGCATCAGATTAACGCCTCGTTGATGCAAAGCTCTCCATTTCTCTCTCTTTCTTCCTTTCTCAGAAAATACTAACTGTAAGTCTATTAGCTTTTTCTTCTTCTCAATACAGCGCTGGACACATGAGAAACACAGCTGCACTGTATGTTCTCTTTGTGACTCGGTGTGCATGTGTCATATGTTTTACTTGTATGTCTGTGAGCGTGTGTGTGTGTG